CGCAGGGCTTCTTAATGCTGCAGCTGAGCATATAGATGGGTTCCCGCCTCTAGTACATAGATGGTGCATGCGACACTTTACCGCTAATTTCTGGCGGCGTCCGCGGAAGCAGGAGGTATGTGACAAGGTAAAGGCTCTATATTGTGTACGTACGGAGCACCAGTTCAAGGAGACAAAGAGAGAACTAGATAAGATGGTAAATAGAGCGGGAAAGGCCTGGTTAGAGGTGCAGATGGAACATAAGGCTTAGTGGGCATTAGCATTTGACGAGGGGGGTTTCAAGTATGGCATCATGACCACTAACTCCTCCGAGTCCTTCAACTGTGTATTCACCGAAGTTCGATCGTTGCCTGTGTCTGGAATTGTTGAGTTCTCCTTTCATAAGTGCAATGAATATTTTGTGAAGAGGTGGGAACTTGCGTAGAGGAATATAGCTGAGCAGGGGCGTTTTGGAAAGGCTAGAGCTGAACATTTGAAGGAGGCCGAGGAATTGGCCAAACAGCACACCGCCGAGCCGTATGGACCCCGCAGCCATATCTTTAGTGTACGGGGCAAGGGTGGCACAAGCTTGGGCGACGAACGTTATGGTGGACAAAACTACCGAGTTGATCTTGAAAAGGTAGAGTGCAGTTGCAACGTCCCTCAGATCATGCATGCCCCTTGCTCTCATATGATCACGGCCTGCAGGGTTCGCGGGTACAACTATGAGGATCTGCCATATATGTCACCCTTGTATCTCCGTTCGAACACCGTTAGGATTTGGGAGATGAGCTTCGAGCCATACCTTGACCCGACACAGTGGCCACCTTATAATGGTTATGACTACATGCCGCATCCGGATCTAATGAAGGTAGGGAAGGGTAGGAGGAAGAAGAAGCGACTCAAGGGGGATATGGACGCTATGAGAGGGTACGGCGAAGACATGTACGGCGGGGGAGACTTCAACGAGACCCGTGGTAGGAATCTTTGCTCCGTTTGCAAACAATCTGGTCACAAAGCTAGCCGACATAGAAGCCGAGGGCAGCAGGTGATTTCATATTGTGTTTGTATTGCATAACAAGTAGTTCAAATTTTGCAATGCTACATAATGTTAATCTGAATATTGTTAATTTGAATGCTCTAACCCTTTGTTTATCAATTTGTAACAGGATGGCCCCTCCCACGCCGCACCAGCTGTACCCCCTCCTTGAGGTGGAGTACGACGACCCCCTTCTTCCACCGGACGATGAGGTTTCTAAGAGGCGTTCGAGGGATCCTTATATTCCTGGGACTTAGTTCATTATGTCGAACTTATGTCGAACGAATATTGTTGTCAAAAACTTGCAGACTCATAAACCAATGAAATTGTTATGTGGCAACTTGTCATTCATTTATTTGCTTCATGTTCGTTTCAACTTGCGCACGGTCGAGGCAGCACTTGTAGTTTTGCACAGCACCGACAACATCTCAATTGAAACTGGCCGTTGCCTGTCCGTGTCACTGTCGCGCCGTTGTCTATGGCGCGGCACTGACGCGCCATGTACCATGGCGCAGCACTGACGTTCGATTTCACCCGATTACATTCGATTTAGAAATTTTGAACTCATGATACAAACTGATGTGATCATTTAAGATCGATCATGGGTAATCCGAGTACATGATACATGGGTACAATACATCAGTAGTTCAAATGGAATACAAGGCAACACAATGGAATTTCTACTACATAGCTATATTGATCATTAATAAAGCATGGAACTAACAGATGGCACAATAAAAAACCCTCAGTTAGAAACATACTGAGTAAACAACTCGTCGTCTGAGTACCAATCCTCAACCACAACCCTGTTGCTGTGGCTAGGCTCACATGCATTGCCATGATCTACCTTTCGCCTGTAGTAAGCGGCCTCCGCTTCATCTACGGCCTCTGCGGCCTGAGTGAAGAACACGTCGTCATCCTCCTCCGCCTGCAAGCCCGCCTCTGCTAGAGCGATGAGCTCGCTCAGTCTGGCAGTGTCGTCCTCAGCCTCCTCCGCTTATAAGCCCGCCTCTGCTAGAGCGATGAGCTCGCTCAGTCTACCAGTGTCATCTTTAGCCTCCTCCGCCTGTAAGCCCACCTCTGCTAGAGCGATGAGCTCGCTGAGTCTGGTAGTGTCATCCTCATCCTCGTCTCCCTCATCAGACAACACAATCGGTGATTCAACGGTGCGACCAGCTCGCTTTCTGTGCTCATCTAACTTCTTTTCCTCGTACCTTGCACGAGCCACCTCTACAGCATGGTTCTCGCTGCATCCAATCCCTTCATGTATAAAATGCAATCAGTTAGCAACGCGATTATATTCCATTTAAAATTAGGCAACGAAAAAAGGCTTCCAAGCACTCACTGGCACATAATGAAACAACATGCTCGTTCAAGACCTGCATCTGTACTCTTGTCTCCTCCCTTGCCTCCTTCCTTGCCCTCTCCTCCTATAATGTCATCGGTCTCTTTAATCCCCATTTGACAAGCCCAACGTCGATCGGGTTACAAATACCGCGCTGCCTAGCAAACTCACGCATATTTTCTTTGTGATGTTTAACGAAAAGGTTGACGTAGTCAGGTCCATATCCCCTCTTCCATGCAATTACTTGCTTCCCCTTTAGTTCATCCAAGAACTTAGCTTGACCATCATAACATTCCCACCTGCATTTCCTAGTGCTCTGTTGAAACGATAAATTATATCATATATGTCTTAGCAAAAGAAACAAAATACGATCCCATGGTTACCACAAAAATAACCAATCTCATCATAGTCAATCATATGGCCGCAATAATGACCTATTTCAAGCTCCGAAGGGACTAGACCGTAGTTGGATTTAACACCACATTCGCACTTGACTGGCGGTGCTTTGTAAATTAACCTTTCTTTCTTCTTTTGCTTTGCTTTTGGAGGTTCTTCGGGCCATTGGTTCTTAGGACCGTACAACCACTCCTTGAAACGACACTTCGCTATTGAATACACCTAAATAACATGACATTAGTACATGAACATATATAGCTCAACATTTCAACACATACACTTTGCACTTACTTCATGCTTGTTTGGACACACAAACTCCAACGTATTCTCAAGGTTTATCATGGCTCGATCTCCGCAATCGCACAGAGGAGGTTCCTCGAATTGTCTAACTGTGGCTAAGTGCTTCTCCTTAGCCGTCATTGGAGGGGGGTTAGGGGGAGGTGGAACCCACCGCTCGAAGTGCTCCCGTGGATGTCGCCCTCTCCACCAATCGTCGAAAAGGAGGTACCTGGGGTCAAACTTGTCTGCACCGTCGATCCACTGAAAGAAAAAGGACCTCTCATGGTCCTACACAACAAAAATTTAATAAAATATTAGTAACCTAGTAATACAAATGAAAAGAAAAATATACGGAAACAATTACTTACATTAAAACGACTGCACGTGTAGAAGCAACGAGTCGCTGTGTCCGGATGTCTCGATTGAAACACGTTGGCCGGACGACCACAGTCACAGTTAGGGACAGGGAGTTCAGGAGGGACGGGGGCATGTTTGCTAGACTCGTCGGGGTACAATTCTCTAGGACGACCCCGTTTTTATCATAACTGCTCCCGAAACATGTCTTCCATCTAATAAAACGGTTCCAATTAAACATCGATCAAAACAACACAAATTAATGTAAAATATAATCATTTGCAATGCAACTAAAATAATATAACCGACAATTATAGCAACAAAAAATACATGGTAAACATACTTCTGACTAAATAATTAACCTTAACATTGACAAAATTAAACTAATATCTTCCTTCAAACCGTAGACCATAGTTCCCAAACATAATTTTCCTCTAACCTTGACTCCCATTCATAATATCCTATCCACCATTCAAACGAAAATAAAATATGTGTCATTACCTTGAACGAGGACGAGGAGGAGGCGGCCGGGGAATGGAAGGGAAGGGAGGGAGGCGGCAATGGACGATCAGGCGGGCTGCTTGGCGTTCGTGGCGCGGCGGCCAGCGTGCTCGGCGGCGGGCTGGCGCGGTCGGACGCGGGCGCATCGGCCAGGCGGCCTTGCTGCGCTGCTCGGCCACTGGGGACACGGGACGCGGCGGTGGTTTTATTCGGCCCTGTCGCGCCACGGATCATGGCGCGGCACTGCCGCGCCAAGATCGGTGGCGCGGCGGCCCTATCGGTCGGGCCGGCCGGTCGGTTATATCATCACACGTCAGCCTTTTTTGCATACCACCATGCATGGCGCAAGACGAGTATTTGGCCCCAGGCAATAAGGCGCGGCCAAAAGTGTTAGTTTTAAAAAAACCGACCATGTTAGATTTAAAATTAATTTTGAAAAAGTGTTAAAATTAAAAAAAAAATCGTATGGGAATATAAATATATTGGGCTAATTGTTGGGCCTCCAAATCACATCTGCCTAACATTTATACAAACTACATATATGTTGGTGCCCCCTGTCCCATGGGCCCCCGGCGGTTGCACCGGCTGCCCCCCACTTAGAGCCGCCCTAGGCCACATGTTTTGAAGGAAATTATTTTCTTGCCTCTAAAAAAAGTGCCTCTTAGATTCTTAGTCCTTTTTTTCGTTGAATTTAGCTATTTGGCCCTGAAATGAGTTTTGGTTAGTTTCTTGACCTTTCCCTCCATTCCGTCAATCTGTTCCGTGAAACAGGGAAAAAATTACCTGGAAACTGTATGCAGCGCGGCACCGTGCATACCGAGCATCGATGGCTGACGTGTATCTCCGCTCCCGATCCAACGCTGCATCCATAAATAAAAAATCAGGATCGGTGCTGGAAACGGTCTGCTTCAATTATAGCCATCGACGCTAACAGAGGGGGCACATGTCAGCCATTGACTCTACGCGTGCACGGTGCCACACTGCATACTTCCACGTTTTTTTTTTCGTGAAACAGCGCTAGCCTTGCCTCGCCCGCGCCTTATCTCTTCGTCGAGTGCACCGGTCTCAGCAGAGGAAGCCGTATCGGGAAAAAAGAAGTCACCGGCCATGGAGGAGGGCGGCTCCGGCGATGTCCCACCGGCGGATCCACCTCGTGCGCGCCCCAGCACGGCGTCCCGGCTGGTCTCGGGGCTGTCCGCCGCACACGCTGGGCTGGGGGCGGCGAGGCTGGCCGAGCAGCGCGCGGCGTTGCAGGGCAACGGCGCAGGGCAGGGCGCTGGGAGGCAGGACGGCGAGCAGCTGCAGTGCAGGTACAAACTGATGCTTGGTTTCTCTCTCTCATGTTTGGAGCATCGTTTTCTCTACTGCGGCCACTGTTGCTAATTTGGAAAAAGGCAGGCATCGAATTCAATTGCTGAATGAATAGAATATTATTTGTCTGTTAGATGGCAGTTAAGTTTTGCTGTTGTATTTTATTTGATATACGCAGATAGGTTCCATGCTGTATCTGAGCATCGATGCTCACATTGCAATTCAAAGCAAACTGAAGTACTGCCCCTCACGTGGCAATGGACTGATGTTTCGAGCCTCATCTACACTGTGGCCTGCTGTAATGTATCTCATGTAAGACCTTTATTTCCAGCCTTCTTCTCAGTGATTGCTCATCATTGTTTAGCTGAATATCCTGATTTGCTGAGTGAAGTAATGTAACAAACTTAATGATCGATTCTCAAGCAATACATTGTTTGTAACAAATTAATCAAGCCATTGTATAATCATAACAAGTATGTCCTTCATCTAGTTCAGTCCATGCTGCTGTTGTCCAAATATTCCAATTCCAGTTTAACTCATGCACAATGTTAATGATTGTTTTCAGGAGGAAGCTAGAGTTTGAGTGGAGCCCACAAGTGATGAGATGGTCAATGTCAAGTGAACCTATGCTGCAGTGGTAGATATACAACCTGTTCGCTTGATGGTTTTAGGCAGAGCTTATCAGCTATGATACAGTGTTTTCCTCTTACAACAAATCAGCACCAGCCAGACTTATCAGCCCAGAAACCAACCAGCGAACAAGCTGATACCTCATCAGATTTTGTACAAACCAGTGTGTCAGATACCTAAGTGTTTGAGCATTGTGTGTCTGAGCTAAGAATGGCATTGGATGGCTTCATTAATTAATGACGTGTACAAGCAAATCATATTTTGGTTTAATGGATTTGTCTAAATGCTTTATTGACCATATACTAAATATTCACTTTGCCCCTCTAGTCAAAACTTAGAATCAACAACTAGCGAAAAAAGAAATAGTGATGATTGTACTCCTGAAGCATCTAGAAGGTAATTGACACTAGGGTAGAAATTTTATGTTACTATCGGGGGCTCTTGCATTTTTATCTTTGCTTTGTATCGAAATTGTGATTTTGCCCCTATTTTTTTTTACTTTGTAAATTTACCTCTTTGTTTTTGAAATGAAGCACCACTTTGTCCCAATTCCGTCATCCTCCCCTAATGATGTTACATTTTATACAAAAGGACAGAAATGCCTGTGTGATTTTGCCCCTGATTTGGGAATTAGACATTTATATTTGATCAAATATATTTGGCCCAACTTACAACTATTTCAATTCAGATTTAATATCAAAAAAATATTCAAAATTTTGGCAGCGCCTTAGCAGTATTTTGATAGCATTATGACTAGGCTCGGGCGCTCGGTTCTAACCGAAATTTTGGGTTAGTTTTTTTGGGTCGGTTCTAACCCAGCCTCATAGGCAGCGTATCGACACAATTTGTATTCTCATCGAACAAAATAGAGAGGAGATCGAGTCTTGTATATATATTATTGAGCACATAAGTGAGGAGATCGAGTATTCGAGTCTCATACTACATAGATGCGAGATTCCAGGCTACGGCGACTCCGTTTGTACTAAAGCCAAGCTGCTACTTCCAAATTTCCAGTCATGCTTCTTTGCTTCTTCCTTTAGGACCTGGCGGACGCAGGAATCCATGGAGCTTGCCGAATCGCCGTCGCTCGTCCCTGCCTCGGCACGCATCGCTGCAACGGTGTTGCTTGGAGGCTAGCACGGCGGCACCGGCGGATCCGTGGCAAGCCGACAACCTCCACGCTTGCTCTGCTGGTGTGCTCGCTACTCACGCTCGGTGTGGCCTGTGGAGGGCGATGCCGGGACGTGCGGTCGGACGCCACCGAAGCCCCGCGGTAGGGCGCCGCCGTCGCTCGGCACGCGCACGCCGAGACCCGCGGGCGGGTGCCGTGACCTCCCCGCGGCCGCCTGGAGGAAGCCCGCGCCCCGCCGATGCAGCCGCCGTGGCCAGGAGGCAGCCGCGCCCCGTGCCCTGGAGGCAGCCCCGCCCCGCTGGTTCTTCCGCCAATGCCGCTGCCGGAAGCCCGCGACCAGATGCAGCCGCGTACGAGACTTGGGATGAGGCGACCCGTGCTTCTGTTTGGGATGAGGCGATAATGATAGAGGGCAGTGTGGTCATTTCGCCTTTGCTTTTCAGATTTATAATTTTTTTAATTCGTTTAATCCATGTCCATCTGACGGACGTCTAAAGCAGGGGCAAACTATTAACGGCAGTTTGGTTACGAAACTAAATATATGATCTCTATCGTAACAGCCAAAGCTCGGAGATTTCAAGTAAGACTAAAGGAAAACTAAATAAATCTAGCTCTGGACTATCAATTTTATATGCATTTTAAATAGTCATTGTGATGTTGTCATGTGCAATAATGCATTTATAAAAATTATTCTAGCTCAATTTTGGAAAATTATTGATATAAGCAACCTGAAAGACATGTACAGTGCATTTGTAGGTTTGAACCCTTTAATTTGGCGTCAGGGCGAAATTAGTACTTTCGCGTACAACTTAACTCCGTTATCCTATCAAATTAACGGAAGGACCAAGAAACCAAACAAAACTCGTTTCATGGTCAAATAGCTAAGTTCAACAAAAAAGGGCCAAGAATCTAAGAGGCACTTTTTCTAGGGCCAAGGAAATAATTTCCTCCATGTTTTGCTTGTGATGAAAAATTCATAACCTAGGCTAAGGTTTACAAACATGTTTAAGTTTTAACAAGGTATATGCACCCGTAGAACTGCACAAGCATGTTTGCTTTAATATATATTATTAATCCAATCACAAGACTCAAATCAAAATATATTAAATAAGATACCTCTCCGTAGTTAAGAAAGAATTACATGCGTCATTTATTTTATTACAATGCACGTCATGTCATTTCACCTATCCAAATGCCCCCTAAGTCCTTACTTAGATTTATATTTCTTGAAAATGGTATGCAATGAACTTTCAAATTGCAAGGTTTATGGGAGTCATGTCTTAGATAATAACATGTTCAAAACATTATATTCTACTCTTTTTTCTAAGTTTTTCTCACAAAGATTTCTCTTAAAAGTTTTTTTTATGAGGCAATATATCAATACAAGCATATATGTATATCTCCTATTTTCCTAAGCGAGGGGTTTAAAGGAGATATTCAAAGCATATTAATTATGTCATCATATCTTTTATTTCCCGCAGGGTTTTGAGAACGTATCAAAGACATACGTCCCATATTTTTTCCAATGAGGTTTGGGAGAGGTTATACCATTTTTATCATACTATTGTTCTGTAGACCTGCTTATGAATTTTTCTTTCCATGCTCTTTAATTCCCATTGATGTTTACAATGAGACAATAATCCATACATGTCATATAATTTTCTTCTTATTTTCTCACTAGGTTTTAATGGAATTTTAGTGGCATACCAATACTTCAGATTCTCCTCAGATTTTTTTCCCATAGAGTTGTTACTTTTTAGAGTAGTTATTATCAATATAAATAAATGAAGGACAATCCATGAAGATTACAAGACGAACATTGGTCAGGGGAGCGTTAGAAGTAGATAGTTAGCGATCAATTAGCATTACTGAACTTTTCATCGTGTCCATTGGAGTCTCGGTATCCGTTTGCCGCGTGTGTCTCTAAATCAAGTCAAACATAAAAGAATTTGACTTAATACAAGTCTAAAAATTTAATTTATCCAGGGAGCGAGGGCATCATAATTTCCTGCCGTCTCTTGTTCACTTCACATTAATTCTCGTGTTCTTAGTTTAAATAGTCGCCTGACGCAGACAAATCAGCAGGATTTGGACAGGGGGATCGAACGTGCACATATATATACGTCCCCCGAGTTCCACGACAGACAACTAGCTAGAGCACGTTGTGTAGGCGAATCAGCCGGAGCCTAGCTTGGAATTGTTTGGTTGATCTCCACCGAGTTGGCCCAACGACTAATTTGGATCTTTGATTCGTGTCCTGATCGGGGGCATCCAACCCAATCATGGTTGGTGGGCCTCCGTCGCACAGCGCTATAAAGAGGAAGGTGGAACCGGGGCACTCGATACGAGGTTCACCTGAGCAGTCATTCTCTCCACCTACATTCCTAACCCTAATCTGATTTAAGAGGGCAGCGCTGAAGCGACCGGAAGCGCCGCCAACCGACTGCCACTGTGCTTCCCCGCCGGACGCCTCCATCACTGGATACCGACACCACTGGACTACGCCGACCTCACTACCGGCGTCATGGCTAGCAGCTCCGCCAAGCCCACCGATGGTCAGCTAACTCTACGCCCCCTCTCTCTCTCTTTAGTCTCTCCCTCTATCTAGTTCATGATCTATGTCGTTTTATCCCGAATAGAAGCATGTACACCCATTGATCTATGCCTAGTTGACCCTGATTTATGCTCACAATGGTATCAGTCGCCTTACTAGGGTATAGATCTAGATCTTGGGGTAGAATAGAATGAGAAAGTAGAAGGAGGGATTTGAATTTCCTCTCAAAGATGTGAACCCTAACCCTATATAAGACGACATCCGGTGGGCCTACTTGGTCCTCTCGTCGGAGCGCGCTACCGCCGGCCGTCGTTGATGCCGCGTAGGTAGCCAAGCCGCCGCTCGCCGCCAAGATTCCAACGCGCGGGCGCGGGCTCAGGGCGCCGATGCGGGGCCGCTCGATGGCGGCGCGCTCTAGCTTCGGGGAGCGTGCGCACCGGCGAAAGGGACCGTGGCTCCGCCGCCACCTCCTCCGGCAGCCATAGGAGGCTGCTACTGCGCCGCTCCATTTCGCTACGGTGCTGATGGGCGAGAAGGGGAGGGAACGAATGAGGCTAGGGTTTCCAGGGGACGCCGATGGGCTGGGTTTTTGAACCGGTGAAAACAGCGGCCAGCCATCCGATGCGGCGCTCGGCCGATGGATGGCTGAGAGCAGCCGGGCCAGATTCGGCCCAGGCGGGAGGTCGAATTGCCGGCCTAGGCTCAAGTTGCGGCCTCGGGCCGAAGCGCGGGCGCGCGAGCGAGTGGGCCGCAGGCCAGTTTTCGAGCTAGGCTTTCGTGTCGAAATGTACAGTAACAACCTTGTATTTAGTTTTATTATTTTTAGAAGCAATTTTAGATGATTTTTAGTCGAATTTGAAGGTTTAAATCTCTATCAAAATTTGAACCAACGGAATATTTTTTTTTTCAAAGAGTAGATGAGTACAGTAAAACACTTCTAAAAAGTAGATAAATTTCTTGATCATGTTTTCGCTGCAAAGATGATGTTTATGATCCTCTAATTTAATTGAAACCAACAAAAAAATTTCAATTGAAGGAGTAGTCATATATGTTTAAGTTAAATTATGATATTGTTATTTTTCTGACCAACGTTGATGATAACAATATTATAAGTTATTCATGAGTTTTTCCATGCATTAGTTCTATTTCTGCCCAACGGTGATGTAGAATTAATGTAGAAGCATATTGTATGTTTTAATTTTGACCAACGTTAAATTACAACATGCAATTATTATGCCAACTGTTTCTCACTTTCTCTGATGTTGTTTTAGGCTATAACCCAATGACATTTATCTTGTCCATTCCGCCTCTCAATGGAAGCAACTATAACGTATGACGAGAGAAGCTTGAGATAGCACTTGCGTTGTTGGATAATGATGTAGCACTTATCTCTCCGTGTCCCACTGAGCTAGTGGACCCGGTGATGGAAGCAAATGAGACTGATGCACCTTTCGCTACTCGACAGCGTGACCATGCAGAAGTGAGAATGAAGTACGGCCTTGATCATGCAAAGTGGGATAGTTCAAACTGCAAGTGTTTGATGGTGATTAAGGGCTCCATTGAGAATCCAATAAGAGGTTCAATCCCAGAATGTACCACCTCCACTGAGTATCTTAAGAAGGTGGAGAGTCAGTTCACTGGCTCTTCAAAGGCTTATGCAAGCACTCTTATTAAGAAGTTAGTCAATGAGAAATACTCTGGTGGAGGGATTAGAGAGCACATATTGAAGATGAGCAAGATGGCCTCCAAGCTCAAGCCAATGGACTTGGGGCTCAAGGATGAGTTCCTAATTCATTTAGTTTTTGCTTCTTTGCCCAAAGAGTATGAGACTTTTGTTGTGAACTACAACTTATAGCTAGATAAGTGGGACATTGAGAAGCTCATTGCCATGTGTGTGCAAGAAGAGAAGAGGCTTAAGAGCTCACATGGTGACGCAGCCAACCATGTGAAGGAAAATAAAAAGAAGAACTTTAACAACAAGAACGCTAAACCACAAGGGAAACCTCAGTGGGACAATAGCTCCTCTAAGCAACAAGGAAAGGCCCCTAAGAAAGATCACCATCAGAAATCCAACTATGTTCAAGTGGACAAGGACACCTGCAGATGATGCCACAAGACTGGACACTACCAGAAAGATTGTCCAGAGTTCCTGCCCTTGTATTTAAATTATGCAAAATCTACTTGGTGAATTGATTGAGGTGCAACTATTCATGTTGCAAATTCATTACAGGAATTCCATACGTGGAGGACCTTGCAAAGAGGAGAAAGACACATTAAGGTGGAAAATGGAGTCAAAGCTGAAGTAGAAGCCATTGAAGAACTTCCATTAGAATTAATGATGGCTTTGTACTTAAGCTTTTATATGTCCTTTATGTACCCTCTTTGCGTAGAAACTTAATAAGTGTCTCACGTTTAGACGATGATGGATATGATTGCCATTTTGGTAATGGCCAATGTAAGATTGTGTTTAATAATAAGTGTGTTGGTCTTGCCTTCCAACAAGACAAGCTTTATTTGTTATCACTTTCTGAGAATATGAATGTTCTGAGCACTGAGAATGAGAATGCCTCCTCGTCTATGAATGTAAGTAA